AATTATAATTTATATATTTAAAAATATCTAATTATTCAAATTTTAAATATAATTTATATATCCAAACATAATCTTTTATATATAATTTATTATAAATTTTAGTTATATATAATAGACACTTAACATGTACATTGTCTGTACTAAAATACTTAGTAACAAAAATTTTACAAGATAAATAACATAATTATAATTTTAAAAAATTTAGAAACCAAATTTAAAATTCCAAAAAAAATCAGATACCTAATAATATATTAAACCTAAAGATTTTCACTGGGAGTAGTTACATACCATATATTGCCAAGAAAATCGTGGATTTGATATATATGATAAGTATTAATATTTTTTTTCTTTGGTAATTAATATTCATACAAGAATAGTATTGTTTTTAAAGAAATCATAGTTATTTTTAAATGAAAAAAAAATCCCTCTCAAGTCAATTAAGATTCCTTTCTCTTTATAATAATCAAGTAGGATTCTTTAGGAAAAGAAGATTTATATTTGAATATTTGATTTTAGTGGAACATTTATATCAATTAAATAAACATCTATATCAGTATAAATAAAGGTTTGTACCGATATATAAAGAAAATACTATTGACGTTTGTTTTGGTTAATATAAGTAATAGTGATTTATGTCATTTAATTAAAATATTTAAAATTCTAAAAATTAATATAAAATAAATTATATTGAGAATAAAATATTTATGTTATGTGTGCTCATGAAAAAAAAAAATAAAGGACATATTAATTAATCAATTTTCAAAATAATTGTCCAATCCATCATATTTTTTTATTTCATTTAAAAAATATATTAAGAGACACAAAATTCTCTTTTCTTTTAGTAACTAATAATACATCTGATACCAAATTAAAAAAAATGAGGGGATACCAAATTTAAATTACTAATATATATTTATAATATCTTAATAAATATATCAATTTAAAAAATTTGGTAATAGTTAAAAGAAAATTTAATATAAAATAAATTTTATTGAGAATAAAATATTTATCTAATGTGTACTAGTGAAAAAGAAATAAAGGACATATTAATTAATCAATTTTTAAAATAATTGTCCAATCCATCATATTTTTTTATTTCATTTCAAAAAAATATTAAGAGACACAAAATTCTCTTTTCTTTTAGTAACTAATAATACATCTGATACCAAAAAAATTTTTTAGGGGATACCAAATTTAAATTATTAATATATATTTATAATATCTTAATAAATATGGAAATTTAACAAATTTGGTAATAATTAAAAGAAAATTTAATATAAAATAAGTTATATTGAGAATAAAATATTTATCCTATATTTTTTGATGAAAAAAAATAAATTTATGAAAAGTGTGAAAATATATTTTTACTCTTCAAGTTTAGAAGGCTAAAATATATTTTTTAAAGTACCTTTTGAAATTAAAAAAATACACTTTTGAACAAAGAATTTTTTTTCAAAAAAAAAAGTTTCCATAAAAATAAAATTGTTTCTCTTTATAAAAGTCCAAAAGTGTAATCTTGACTTTTGAAAAGTATTTATTATATATATATATATATATATATATATATATATATATATATATATATATATATATATATATATATATATATATATATATATATATATATATATATATATATATATATATATATATATATATATATATATATATATATATATATATATATATATATATATATATATATATATATATATATATATATATATATATATATATATATATATATATATATATATATATATATATATATATATATATATATATATATATATATATATATATATATATATATATATATATATATATATATATATATATATATATATATATATATATATATATATATATATATATATATATATATATATATATATATATATATATATATATATATATATATATATATATATATATATATATATATATATATATATATATATATATATATATATATATATATATATATATATATATATATATATATATATATATATATATATATATATATATATATATATATATATATATATATATATATATATATATATATATATATATATATATATATATATATATATATATATATATATATATATATATATATATATATATATATATATATATATATATATATATATATATATATATATATATATATATATATATATATATATATATATATATATATATATATATATATATATATATATATATATATATATATATATATATATATATATATATATATATATATATATATATATATATATATATATATATATATATATATATATATATATATATATATATATATATATATATATATATATATATATATATATATATATATATATATATATATATATATATATATATATATATATATATATATATATATATATATATATATATATATATATATATATATATATATATATATATATATATATATATATATATATATATATATATATATATATATATATATATATATATATATATATATATATATATATATATATATATATATATATATATATATATATATATATATATATATATATATATATATATATATATATATATATATATATATATATATATATATATATATATATATATATATATATATATATATATATATATATATATATATATATATATATATATATATATATATATATATATATATATATATATATATATATATATATATATATATATATATATATATATATATATATATATATATATATATATATATATATATATATATATATATATATATATATATATATATATATATATATATATATATATATATATATATATATATATATATATATATATATATATATATATATATATATATATATATATATATATATATATATATATATATATATATATATATATATATATATATATATATATATATATATATATATATATATATATATATATATATATATATATATATATATATATATATATGGGGATTGATTATTAATTAAAAATCACAAATTTTGAAAAATTCTAGTATTAAATCGAGAAAAAAAAAAACTTATTAATTAAGATGCATGTGTGACCCATAAAAATATGATTTTCAATATCAATAATGAAAATTATTAAGGAGAGTGCATTAATATTCCTCTAAAAAAATACTTTTGATTCCTTAATTTAATTAAAAAAAATTCATACATAAAAAAATTAAGGTGAGAAAAAAAATTATGTAATAATTGTATGTTGTACTCTTGTATCAAAATTTATAATTTCTAAAAAAAATTAATCAAAACTAAAAAATGTTTGGATAAAAATATTGAACAAATTGTTTGAAGAAAAATAAAAATATAAAATCAACTCTTATATATTAAACGACTATCTTGTATAAGAATATATTTTAGTAATTTTTTTTCAATTAAAGAATTCATTATAATTTTTAATTTTTTATCTAATTTGATTTTTACTTACGATAATTATTTATGGATTAAAAAATATAATACATTAATATTGTGAATTGTAACATCTTAAAACATTAATTAAACCCCAAGCGTGTGGTTCAGCGATAGGGGTTGATCCACGCTTAAGCATGGTCAGGGGTTCGAATTCTGCCTTGTGTATGCAGCTACGTTAAATCTTGAGGCCAGCTAGACCACCCTTTGAGGTGTCTCCCTGTAGCGAGGAGATTAGTCTCTGTTATCGGCCCTGGATGCTCCAGGGACGAACTGAACCAAAAAAATCTTAAAACATTAATTACATTAATAATTAATTATTTCAATTTTAAAATAAATTTAAATAAAAAATTGCATATA